ACTGATTTGTGGTCTGGATTCAAAAGTGTTTTACTGTTCTTTGCTTCTCTCTGAATTCAGCTATTTAGATCAGGCTAATTTTCAACTGGAGGAGCTGAATTTTCAACTGAAGAGCTATTATTCTCCCTGAAGGTTATCTCATTTGTTTAAAAACTGGTGGCAAACCGCTGACTGTTGTATATATATTTTTTTTTTTTTTTAAGACAACAGCAATGGGGGAGGAGAGTTATATCTGGAAAACTGGAAAACTCCCACATGCAAAATCCCAAGGTCCTTTCCTGAAATAACAAATACTTTCATAAATAATAAAATGAACTTCACCATGTTTCTCAGAAACTCTGTCCTCAGCTGTACCAGAGGATGAGCTCATGAGGTTATGCTCGATAGCATTTCAGAGGGTGTATTTCTCCTCATAATACATTCAGAGTGTGGCATTTTTTTCAGCCTTTACTGCTGTATCAGTGTTGGTTGGCCAGCTTCCCCAAGGGGAGGAAAGACAGAAGCAAACTTACACACAAGGCAACACCTTAGGAGGCGCTAGAAGTGTTGAGATTCTGGAAACCTTGGAAGGGTGGAGCTAAGTATTCCATATTGTTGTCTAGGTCCTTAGACAAGGTCATTTTCTTAATTCTTCTTTCTAAAGGAAAAGACACTTAAAGACTATCCTTGCTGTATATATCACAGAACAGATGTCAGATTAGCTATTAGCAGTTAGAAATTGCCTTTTTGGTTGGTTGGGAGTTTTAAAATTATTATTACTGTTGTTTTAGTGAAGGAATTCATTGTCTGTTGAATGATGATGATACAAGCAGACTTCTGTCTGTAGTAAATAGGCATGTCATGACTAGGAGGAGTAGCTTTAAGAGAAAAGTGTTGATATGTTGCTAAAGCTCACAAAGAAGTGCAGGCATCCAGAGAAAACACAGGATGAAATTTGTTTTTCTGATTCTTCCTGCCCCTGCAGCATGGCTTCACTGGGAAAGGGAAAAACATTGGATGCACTGGGCACCCATGGTGGGGACTGTCTTGAGACAAGCACCTTTTCCTGAATATTGACCTGTACATCCCAGTTCCCACTCTTGACACCCAGCTGCACTCCTTGCATGGGGAGGAAGGCAAGCACTTTGGAAAATGCAGTTGCCTTGAGCATTTAAATGGGAGCTCCTCTAATTTGTACAGCTGGACTATCATGTATGCCATTATGTTTAAAATTAGTGGTTGTAAAAGAATTTAGAGGGGGAAAAAAAGGAGAGATTAGTTCAGATAAATAAAATATAGAGCAAGCTGCTTCACAATCAGCTCAGACTCTCTACAGGGAATTGCCTCACCAAAAAGGATGTCTTCCTGATTCCTTCCCACTCATCTTCCTTATGAGATAGTTTTTCTCCCTCAGTGCAAGGATATGTTTCTGGCTTCTGCCATCTAGAATATCCTCCTTCTGTTTATACCCTAAATGGCCTTTCTGCCTTCTAACTTAGCACCTGCTTTTATTCATTGTGAAATGATTTTATATGCTTTTTAGTAAATGTGACAGGCAGTGCATTATGCACTGTCATGTTTTATTTACTCCCATAAAGCATTATGGAATACAGTTAGAATGTGACATCCAGGACACTGTGTAGTGCTGCATTGTGTTGTGTTGTGCTGCAACATGAGACAGTCCAGTTCCTTGAAAGACACACTGTCTTTTCCTTTGCCTATATATTTGATTAAGTGTTTTTTATTCTGACTTTCCCCTTGGTGAATGTGCATTCCATGAGTTTCCCCAGTGTATCTGATGAGGACAATGCTTGTCTCCTTGGAAAGGTCTTACTTTAGTCTCTTAGCTTTGTTGATACAAAAGGTGCAAGAGTTGCTCACATCTCCTCAAGCTGTTTCCCAGATACTTGATTCATGAGGAGCCAGCCTCCTGGGAGAAACTCTGTGTTGACTGTGTTCTGTCTGTGAAATTCTGATGTGTTTGACTACAGTGCTGGCTACACCATTTCAGGTTGTAATTTAGTGCATGGTGAGGAGGGTGAGAGGGAATCAGGCTGTTTCAGAGCTCCTGAAGAGTCTGCTCCAGCATCAGGTGAAGGCTCTGAATAGCTTTAAATTTCATCCCATGTGAGCTATAGAAACAGCATTTATGGCCATTCTTATCAAACATACTTTATTCCTTTGTGGAAAGGACTTTTCCTCAGAGTGGAATATTTGGACACCCCTTATTTTACTATAGTGAGAATTTTATCCCCATACTTCTCTCCAGCCTTTCCTCTGCAATGACTTTATAATTGGCATATTTACCATGATGGAAATAACAAGTCACTGTGCTTTGATTTTTAAGCTTCATAACACATGCAGCTTTATTGCTTCATGTACCTGTGTAACTTGGATGCTGCAGAGCTGTGCTAGCCATAACATTTCAGCACTAGTCTTGGTCAGGTGTGACTGCCTTACAGGCAGAGCAGTGTAGTATGTGCAATTCAGATTTAACTTAAATGAAAAGCTTTGATAGACCCTCTTCTTGATGTACAAGGAGCATGTAGTGTTTATTCTCAGTTGGTGTGCTGTGTGCACAGATGTTTTCTTTTGGGTATATGTATGACCACATTTCAGAGTTACTGTCCCCAGAACCCTAATTTCAGCAGCTGACAACGTGAGGATAAAACCTGTGCTAGAACTGCCTGGGAAAAGGGAACCTTTCCCTCAGAATCATGAACCAGATTGAACCACATAGTGAAATGCATGGTGACAGAGGGAAAATGGCAATAGTTTGCTGTTCAAGAAAGAAGAGTAATGGACTCTCAGGCACAGGATGAGTTTTGCTATGTTTTACACAGAAACTTTTGTTCTGACTTAGGGAATTATTTTTTTTACTAGAATTTGTTATCATCAAATCTGTTCTATTTTTATCCCTTTTCTTGGACGTTTTGGATAAAGTCCTGTGAAATAGTGTCCTCTTAGTGTAATGGGTATTTTCAGAGTTCAGAGGTCCTCAGGATTTCAGTAAGAGCTCAGTAGTGTTGGCTGGACATTTTGTTTCATTCCAGATCAGGGGAAAAAAAAAAATAAAACAGAAACAAACCAGACTGCACAGATGTCTTCCCCCCCCCCCTTTTTTTTTTAATAAGAGCAAATGCAAAACAGAATTCAGCATAGATGTCCCTGATGAAAATCACAACAAAACTAATAGGTGGGAGGTCTTTAGTTTCACCAAATTGGCACTTTTCCAATGCAAATTTTTTTGTTAAAACTGAACAAAACAAAACTGGCTAGTTCTGCACTTTGTGAGCTAGGGCTGTGTTTGCTTAGAATGGGTTTCTCAGAGTGTGAAAGCATCTTAGAAAGATGTCACAATTAGGTCCATAGAGATAGTTTTATGAGAAACACAGACTTTTTTCTTCTGAGTTTCAGAGTGTTTGGAAGCTAGAATTACTTTGCTGTCAGAAGAGTACAATGAATGGTTAGACAACCATGGTTTGCTTATAGCTGTATGCAGGGTGGTGTTTACAGCCAGTAACCAGTGAAAAGCAACCTGAAAAATAGATGTACTAATCAAGAAGTTTGTACCATTTGCCTGGATTCCTGGCTTCAATGAGTATTAACAAAACAAGTATATTTATTTCATATAAAGAACTTATAAAAATTCAGTCACACATTAGGTTTTATTTTAAAAGTAAAGACTTAGATTAATGTGTGTGACAGATGGCTGCGGCTGGTTGCTTTGGTTTTGTATTTCCAGCATTCACAGAGTGGCCTGGTGGAGATATTTTACCCCCATTCGTTCTTCCTCAGTAGCCAGATTCAGGAGAAGGCACAAATTTTTTATTTCTATTGCTTGCAGTGGAACTGGAGGTTGAGATGGCATTCAGCAGAGTGATGTTCAGTTTAAGACAAAGACGCCAGAGTTTGGGTATTTACATGAAAACAAGTGTCCAAATTCATGTAGATTGCCACACATCATGTGGGGAAGGAACACAGGTAGCTGTCCCACAGGTGGAGGCTCAGAGGTGCATGTCATGACTGGGAACTGAGACCTGCTGTGATCTGAATGTTGTCTTGGAGCTTTCTGATCCTCAAAATTTCCTCATACTGAAGTTGTCAATTCATGGAAGAATGGTTGTTTGCAGTTCTTTGATGCAAACTGACTCAAATTCCAGTATCAGAAGCAGCTGGGCAGTGCAAGTGCGTGGTGCAACTGAGAAGACATTTTGACTTTTAGAGGTCTGGATCTTGACAGTTCCTGTAATCCTTGGAGCCATGGATTTACAAAAGCAGAGGTTTTACCTCGGTATAAGTAAACTTCAGGAACAATTGAGTATTTGCTCAGGCAAAAGCTGTGGAGTTTTAATTAACTAAAGACTTGGCTATTTGTCTTGAAGTTACTGAGTAAGATGGTTGATGGGATAGGATCTGGCCTCATTTGCATCAGTATAAGCATGGAGTAGCTGTTTGAATAAATGGACCATAGGCAGAAAAAGGTTCAAACAATATAAATAAAATCAAAACATGACTTTATACATGTTTCTGGGAGCAAATACTTAAGCACATTAAAGAAATTTAAATTCACCCATACTCATTTTCCTGCAGCCTTTCATTGCTTTTGTTTAGAGGGCATTGCTCCCCAGAGCACAAAATTTGGGAAGCAGGACTATTTACATTTTTTATTTTAGTCTGTTTTACTTGGTTGTTCTCAAGCTTTTATTAAAGTTTAATTCTGTTTTAAAACCAAAGTGGTGAGAATGAATTTATATAATCAATATGAATGTAGAAATAATTATACATTTCTTGTAAAATAAAGAGTCTATATACTTGAGCTCTGTTGTTCTTACTGTTTAATAGGGGATTGAATTAAGAGAAAATACACTGTACTTTCTATTGAATAATAACTGCTCCTAGACCCAAGGTTTTATAGACTTGAAATGCAAATAATTGTGCTGTCTTATAAACTGTTGTGTTTTTTGCCTTCCTGTAACTGGAACAACATACTAATTTCTACAAGTTGTGACTACTAACAGAGAGCAATCACCTCACAGACTTGTACCGGAAAGAAGAGAGCATCAGTGTGGCAGGGAACGGCTGCATCCACAGTCCTCGCTTCCCCAGCAGCTACCCCAGGAACCTCCTGCTGACGTGGCGGCTCCACTCCCCAGAGAGCACCAGGATCCATCTGGCTTTTGATAATCAGTTTGGGCTGGAGGAACCCGAAAATGAGATCTGCAGGTGAGTGCCAAGTGAAAGTTTGCAAAGGTCTTACTAAGTCCACCTTTGAGATAACTGGCATGAGACTGCAAAGAGAAACCAGAGCATGTCTGGCCAGGTCTAGCATGTCCTTGCAAGGAGGACAGACCTTTAAGGGGCCCTTCCAGCTGAAATTAGTCTTTGAGTTCATAAATAAACAGAGCTGTTCTGGACTTGAAGCAGTTTTGTCAGGTTTTAATCCTTCTATAATATTTTAAGAACAAGGTATTTGTATGCTCAAATCTAGCTGTCTTACAACATAGGTGCTACTTTAATAGGATTTTGTCCTCTATCACCTCTATTGTGTTTCAGCCAGGTAAGAAACATCTTTTTCAGTAGGTGGAGGGCTCTAGGAGGTTTGAGTGAGTAGGTAAGCATTTTTATTGGGGTGTGAGGGACAGACAAAAATGCACTGAAATATATAATTACCTTCAAATTACTCCCTTATCTTTATTTTTTCTCTTCACCAGTACAATTCCTTTTAAAACTTTTAAAAATAGATCCACAAATATCAGTGTACTGATGCATGCTGATGTAGCTATAAATCTACTAAAGCCTCTACCCTACTATATCCCAGTTGCTTTGGTTACTCTTTTAAGCAAAAGTGACTTTAAGCTCAGGTGATGAGGCTGATTAACCTAGGTGGATAAACTGTCTCACATTAGTAGAGTACAGAGGTGAATCTTGCCAGCATTCACTAAAACAGTATAAATCCATGTGTTTATATTTCTTTTATTCAGCTCTCTTTTCTGTGGGGGAAAACAGGCTCAGGATTCCCATGCCCTCCAAAAGGCAGATTGGTATTGATGCTACTTAGGTGAAAAGCTCAAATCTCAGCCTGCAACTCTGCCTGATCATGTTGTTGCTTATACCTTATTTATGCACAGGATTTGGTTGTTAGTGTTTCTGCACACCCAGCCTCTTCTTATCTTATCTTTGTCAATTAATTTGTGTTTGTAGGGTTTGGCATCTCTGCAGGCATTTTACAGGATGGATTTTTTTCCTTATTTTTCTTTGTTACATTTTCTGCATTACTGATAGAGGGAACCATTCTTGCAGGTTTGTTTTCCATGTAGCAATAGAATGCAGCCTAAAATTGGCTCTCCTTTCCTGCTCCTTGGCAGGTTTGCTCTGGTGATGTTGGTCCAAGATCAGCAGCAGAGTTGGGAACAACAGTAACCTCCCAGTACCCCAAATGCTTTCCCAGATTCAGAGCCTAATGCACACAGAAGCAGCCTGTTAATATTTACATAGTGGATAAACTGTGGCTGACCTTAAGCATTGCAACTTTGAAACAGAGGGCTAATTTACTGTGGAAAAAAAGATGAAGTATTCTCTGTCAAAAGCCAGTAAAGGTGGTGGCACAGTGAGGGAAAGTCAAGCTGTTACTGGCATTATGTGCTTGGAGTGCATCTTGGAAGACAGTCAGCTTGCTTTTTCCAGAGCAGCTAATTTAGAATGCAGAGAAAAGTAAAGACCTTCCATCATCCATAGTGTCTATAGAAGCTGGAGAAATATCACATCCTTTTCTGCAATAAAACTTTCCCTTGAGTTTCTGGAAGACTTTTATTTGGGTAGTATTACTTCCAGAGCAAGGAATTTTTTGGTCAGACAGATGTGATGGCTTCAACTCTGTTAAGTACTGTGTGCAGTTGGATGTTTTGCTAATGCTCAATATATTTTTCAAAACTAGATCCTTACTGCAGCTTCAATTCCTGACAACCCCTGCAGTGTTGCTTTAGAGAGACAGTTAGGACTGTTTTAATTGAAATGAATGCCAAGAGCTAAGCACATGCTTGAAGGCTGGGTATACTGGACAAGTAATTCAGGACCTCTGCACCTTACCTTGCTTTTTTTATTTGCTTTTGACCTTAAGCTTTTTTCTCCAGAAACGTCCTAGTGTTTTCTTTGAATTTTTCATTAATGCTAATTATTGTAATTTGCATACTATTAAGACTGAACTGATTGAAATTCATTCAGGCTGAGGAATTAAAAGGTATATTTTAGCAGAGCCATATTTCTTCAGAGCTTCTGAAGAAGGAGAGAAAATATTCAAGGTCTTACAGAGTGTTCAAGAAGTGCTGTTAGCATTTCCACAGGCACTTGATAAGAGATGATTCTGAAAAGCAATTAAATTACCCAGCCTCTGAAGCTCCTTGGATGCACAGAAGCAGCTGAGAATACACCTACTTCTCAGATCATTGCAGCAAAGCCTTTTCTGTTGAAAGCAGATATAATCCTTGAAAGTCCATGGATTTTCCCTGGTTTTGCTGCTTAGTCTGGCTTCCAGAAGTGAGGAGGCCAGTCAGGACAGCTTTCACCAAAGCTTACAAGGTTATCTCCTGCTGAGCACCACAACCTCTTGTGTTGCAATAGACATTCATAGTTACGTGATTCCCAGGGGGCCAGGGTGGATCCTTGGAGCTCTGCTGGGTGCCACATCCATCACCACCAGGGAGTAGGAGCTTGGGATGGTGTAGGGAGATTGAGACAAGTTTACCTCTGCCTGGAACTAAATTTTGGTGTTCTTCAAAAAAGGAATATTTCAGTAGAGTTTGGGCAGATTTAAGTGATCATGGTGGATCTGTTATTTTCTGTTCTGTGCAATCTGGCATTGGTGAGTATAAAAGAAGCAGAGGTGATATTCTCAAACCACATAGTATTTGTAGTTTTTTTCTCATGGGCTCTCAGGAGAAAAAGAAAAGTAGGTCTGTTATTTACAGAGCTATTCAGCTCCCACAACTGGGCAAAGAGGAGGGTGCTTGGCCCTCCTCCTTGGAGGTGGGAAGAAGTTCATTGCTAGCAAGAATAATTTAACAGTCCTGAACTTCTTCTTTGGAGGGAGCAGATGCTTTGATAATACAAAACATTGCTGGTAAAGACCTCCAGAGTTTTAAAGCTTAGCTGTACTGTGAGGATGTCACTCAAGCTGTCCCTCTTGTCGTCACCTCTGCCTCACTGGCAGCAATGTGTGGGGCCTAATTCTGGTTCCAAAGATATTGAGAGACATTTTGTCACAGATTTAGTAATAGCAGAATTTTATTCTCTGCCCCCTTTATTCTCCAGCTCAATAACTGTACTCATTTATTTATCTATTTATATGGTCATTTATACCCAAGCAGGCAGATGCGCAGGCTGGAGCAGTGAGTGCTGCCACTGTGTCCCTTCATCCCTGGGGTTTGTTGCCTTCTGCTCCTGGCAGAGCCCTGTTTGGGCTCAGGGACCACTGCTGTGGCATGGATGCCTGGCCAAGATAAGACTTTTCACAGAACAAGATGTGCTGTTGCATTTTCCCTGGTGACAGCATGCACATGAACTCCCCAAAGGGCAGCATGCTTTCCTGCTTGTAAGCTAGACATAAATCTTCCCAAACCAGCTCCAGGAGCAATGTACCACCTACAAGGAGGGTCCTAAAAAGCACCTTTCAGTAGCATGCACTGCCCTGTGTCCCTCCAGCATGTCCCTTTTCTCCTGTCACAGTGGCTGCTCCTCTCTAGCCCTCTGACTGTCAGAGCCGGCGGGCGCCTGTGGCTGCTGCTGCTGCTGCAGGGAGTTGGGTGACCACCAGAAAGTGCACAAGTGCTTGCAGCTGCTCAGGTTGGGCAGCTTGCCTTAAATAATATTTTATCAGGTCTCTAAATTATTTACCCACCACATAAAACGCAATGTGTATGTTTACTGTATACTAAGCACATGCAAGTGCCTCTTACTGCTATTTTAACGTGGTAGCAAATACTGTCATGTTCCAGAAGCACAGAAATCAGTCATTTGAGCACTCAGGCAGTAGCTTGCAACTTAGTTTATTTAGTGGCACACAAACTTGTCCACCATTTGTAATACTTAGTTGATGTTTTGGAGTGGCGAATAGGGGACAGTTGTCTTTGTGTCTCCAGCTGTGCTCCTGTCAATTTGCAAGCACCTTCTGTAACCAGAATCAGCAGAAACTGATTCTTCATACTCTTTTTCAGGTATGACTTTGTGGAAGTGGAAGATGTGTCAGAGACCAGCACAGTTATTCGAGGGCGGTGGTGTGGACACAAGGAAGTGCCTCCAAGAATTACATCAAGGACAAATCACATAAAGATAACTTTCAAATCTGATGACTACTTTGTGGCTAAACCTGGATTCAAGATATGTTACTCTCTTGTGGTAAGTCTCCTAGGGGTAATAGGGTAAGAGACAGTTTGCAGTGTAAAAGAGCATCAGTTCTTGAAGACTGAATGGTGTAGCTAAACGTGGGATCAAAACACTAAATGACTAAAAGTAATTTTATTCCAGCAACTGCATTAATGCAGATCAAAGTATTTTTGACATGGTGTCATTAAATATAAAATAAAGTCAAGTTCAGTTCAAGATTTACTCTAATAACATGTTTCAGAAGCACTAACACTTTCCACACTAAAGCTGCACTGCCACTGCCTTGCGAGATGCTGCAGAAATAGCAAAGAAATGGCTGCTCTGTGAACCCCCTTTTTCATATTCATTTGAGGTCAAATAAAAATACCTTGAGTGGTTATGGCTGTGATTCTCAGATGAAGAGTAGTTTATCGTGTATTCAATAGAAGTCTGCATGCAAGACAGTGTGCTAAGGCTGAGACTATTTTTAATCAGATATCAACATACCTCTCTATATGCAGAAGCATTAGTAGTGTATCATGTACTGTTTCAATGAGCTTAAAATCTCATCGTTTTTTTTTGTTTTAATTTTGGTTTTGCTTTTAGGGAGCAGGAATGCTCAGTACACTTAAGTAGCTTTTGATACAAGTATGTATTCCTTTGTATTGCCCTGATTAATATTATAATGCTTTTGGTGCAGTGTAGCCCGAAAGAGGCAGATTTTGCAAACACTCAGGAAATGGTAAGCAATCATTTATTATACTGTCATAATTATATTTTCCTATCCATCACACTTCTTATTCCCTTTTTATTCAATCCACTGTACTTTAACAAGAATAAGAAAGACTGGGATAGCAATAATGTTGTAACAGTAAAGATTCATTGTTTGAGTCATTTCACTTCTACCTCTTGACTTTGCATGCATGTATGTCTGTATATGCTAAAAAGAGTCCATAAACAGCACATTGTCAAGACAGAGCAAAACTATATTTTGCTTCCTTGCATTTAAATTGTTAGGCTTCTAGTGGAGTAAGATATTAAATTGTAAGCTCTAATTTGAAGATAATCTACTAAAACTCAAATTCAGGCAGAACAGTCTATGAAAGACCACTGGGCATAAAAATGAGAGCGAATCAGCAGCCTTTCTTTATACTTTATTTCACACATATACATATATATATATATATATATATATATATATATGCATGTGTGTGTGTGTGTGTGTATGTGTGTGTGTTTCCAGCACAGCCACAGAAACTCTGCTGCATTTAGCAAGTTTAATTCCAGAGAATATACAGATAGTCTGATAGTATTAGGCTTTCTGAAAATGAATGTTATCACTCATAAGATACAGGACTTTACACTAGAAAGCTCAGAAAAGGCTATTGTATTTATTTCATTTCAAAACTATGAGTAAACAGAGAATTTGCAATCTAGCATATCTATTTACAAGAACAATCTCTAAGTGTACCCTCTGAATGAAATACTACTTCATTTCAGAGAAGAGCCCTGTGCAGGTGATTGGTGGTATTAGTGAGACTGGGGGTGATTTGTATTTAGCTGGTCTTCAGATTCCGAACCATCCCATCTAAAAGTGCAGGATTAATTCTGAGCATAGTCAGCCCTTGTTCCATAGTCCCCACAGTCACCTAGAGTGCAGTTCGTAGATATCCTGAGCACTGCTGACCCCTGAAGGTTGAACTCGCTGTATGTTTCTAGTTGGTAAACCAGGGAGCATTAATGAAGCATGCAAAAACATATGGTATTTTTTCTATGAGATGAAATTAAGGACCATTGCCTTTTTTCCTTCCCTTCATAACCTTCTCCAATAAGGGCTGCATCTGGGGCCTTTCTTGGAACATGGTGCAAATTTCTTATGTGCAAATTTCTTAATTCCCTTGCTTTTTCTTATATTTGGAGTTTGGATCTGCATGGTAGTTGTTTATTTGTATACAAGACTCTGATAATTTTCCAGAGAAAATAAAGCAAGTGATTTGGAATTTATTGATCAGCTCCCCCTTCTGTGCATCATGCCAGAATGACTGGGTGAATTTCTCAGTTACTCATGCAGGCAAGAAGCTTTGCAGCCTGACTGTTTGGCCTCTCATTAATAAATCTTGAAGGAAGTCAGTGAAGTTCACTATATTTGATGCAGATCGAGCTTTTACTCAGCACTCTACATGAGGCACAAATAAGGCACCAGAGAGCTTAGCAGAAAAATCCTTCACTATCTTTGTATATTTGTGTTTTTCTATTAACTGCACATTTCAGTACCATTTAGAGAAACAAAAGGGGATTATTTTTCTAGAGAAGACATAAATTAGACTTGTATCACTTGTATCACATTTGCCTTTGTGAATCAAGGTATAGAAAGTAATGGTAACAAGGGTTACAAGGTATAGAAAGGTTACAAGGTCATAAGGTTATAAGGTTATACAAGGTATAGAAACACCCCATGTAGGATGAAAGAGCTCGATGGTATTAGAATTCAGACTGATTCTGGAAAAATAGACCAAAAAGATTCAAGGATGGTCTTTAACAGTATAAGGTTGAAAACTGTAAGGATATGTGGGTCCTGTCCCACTATAAGGTACAAGGGACAGGGGAAAAAAATCTGTGCAATAGAGTCTGATCATCTAATTACAGCATTTAACAACTTTTGCTTGCCAAGGCTGTCTCCCACCACCTTCTTCCTCTTCTTCCCTCATCTTCTGTGTTTTGGCACCTCTGCCTCTGCTCTTCCCTCTGTGGGTCTGAGGGACTCAGAAGGCTGGAAGGGGAGCAGTGATGGTGGTCTTGGAGGCACGGGACAGGTCCAGCATGCTGCTGCCTGCTGCCTGTCCCAGATCTGCTTTTCCCTCTCAAAGCAGCAGCACTCCCTGGAGTGGGAGCTCCAGGGTAGACCTGACTCCAGGAGTTTGTTAGTGAGCTGAGTGTGCCCCACTTCCCACTGCTGACCTCAAGTTGCCTAAGAGTCAAAGGTGTCCTAAACTCTGTGGAAAAGGTCCCTCCTCCTGTGTGCTGGTTGCAGGAGGAGGTGAGTGTGCACAGCTGGAAGCTGGTCTCTACACTCACCACTTCGCATTCAAAGACCCCAGCTGTAGCTGTGCAGTTTGTTGGCTTAGACTGGGTATCCACATAGAGAATTGTTTCCCTTGAACATCTTTGAAAATTGCCTTTTCTTTAAAGTTCACAAATTTAGAGCAAAAATTTTCCGGAGCAAGACATAGACAGTGATTAGGCATGTGCCTCGTGTGATTGCAAATTTGTTTGAAACTCGTCCCTACCATTATCACTTAAATCCATTATTTCTTAAGGTTTTAAAATTATTTTCTTGAGTTGCCTTAGAAATATTAGGTTGTATTATAGAAGGAACTGAGGTATTCTAGGGTGGTGGTTTTTTGGTTTGTTTTTGTTTGTTTGGCGGGGGAGGGGTTGGTTTTTTTGAGGCTTTTTTTGTTACATTTTTTTATCCTAAGGACATAATCATTCACAACACACAGTGTAGAAATCCATGAAGCAGAGGAGGATAAATTTATATAATCCCCTTTTTTCTTATGAAGTTCTTTCAATATCATAGTTCTGGAAAGGAATGTTAACAAGATTCGATCCCATGTTTTACAACTTCATTTGCATGAACATTTAGTGAAATAGTCTAGGAACTCATTCAGGAACATGTTTCAGCAATAAAGGTGAATGTTTAGAATTAAAATTCCCAACTCTGCATCTAATTTCATTTTAATGAGACAGCTAGAAAATGTTGGATTCCATTTGCTAATTGAAACATTATTTTAAGTTTATTGTCAAAGGCACATACATATATATATATATATATATACACATATATATATATATATACATATATACAGGCACATGTTATATACACATACAATATATACATATATAATATACAAAGGCACATGTTATATACATTTATAAATTATACATTAATGTATAAATATTATACATTTATAACAATAAATTCATATTGCTATACTGATTGTTTGGTTAATCCTAAATTAAATCTGTATTTTGGAATTCTGACTAAAATCATTTAGTCTACTACTAAAGGGCTACTGAAAAAACTAGGAACTTCTATAAACATGCATGTATATAGAGGTGTAAGGTTACATATACCTCTTTTTTACATACATAGCCATGTATTTGTTGACATGTGGTATAAAATAGGAGAACATAAGAGCATTTGTCCCAAGATAAGCTTATGTATCAAAATATGTATCAGCATGTTAAATCCAAAGTAGTTTTGGCTTGTTTAAAAATGAAATTTTTTGGATGAGGGAGCCATAAAAAATTAATGGAATGGAGGAGGGAGGAACTTTGAGTTTGGATCCATATGTGAAATTCCGTATGTGGAATAGCTTTCTGCTGAACACCCTGTATATAGGTGACCACATCTGAGATTGAAAAGAGAGCATTAGTCACAAACAGGAGTAAGACACCACAGTAAAATTCAATCACTTCCGTACAAAGAATATTTACCAAAGTTTGCTCAGTCTCTAGGCTTAAACTGTTTAATACTTGCCTATTAATTTCCAAAGAAAACAAATAAAATTGGAACAGCAATCAGAAAATGAAAATTGGAAAAATAAGAAACTGATCCTGATACTTATACTCACTGCTATCACTATTAAGCGACTGGTTCCCTGTATTTTACTACACTTGTCTGCACAAGTAGTGCAGCAGCAGGCTTAAGGGTTTTTTTAAATAAGTCAATAAATAAATGCCCTTAAGAGTTAACATGATCATAAAAAGACTCACCAGTGGGAATACAGATCCATAAAGATCATAAGGAATGATTAATTCTAAGTTGAAGCCAGTCTGGAAGGTGCGTGAGGCTGCTGCTGTACTTCTGGTTTATCTTGTCACAGAATGGACAGATTTCTGTATCCAGGACAAAATATTCTGCCTAAAACTCCATGTAATACATCTCATGTGACAACAGGAGTGATACTGATGCATCTATACCTTCCCTACTATTAGATAATCCACAGAAGGAATCCCAGTAAATTGCT